CCGCGCCGAGGGCTCGCTCTCTGCGGGGCAAGGAGGCCGCGACACCCCGCGCGGCCGGAGCGAGGGAGGGAGGAGGACACGGGCGGAGCCGCGGCGAGGACGCCCGGTCCCGCCGAGTGCCCAGCGAGCAGGCTCCAGCCTTCCCGCCCATCCTGAAAGTTTTCCAACGCACTCAGGCGTAGTCCTCGCAGGTTTTGGCAACCCGAGTCCCCTTGGGGAGAAGGCCCCGCACAGGCACCGGGGAAGGTGGGGCTGGCGAGGGGACCCAGGGTGTGCGGGCAGAAGGCGAACACGCAGCGGGAAGCAACTCCCGGGACGCAGGAACGAGCGCTAAAAATCCTGCCCCAGCTCGGAAGGGCAGCGGTGCCCCGAGGCTGTGCGGTAACTTTGCCCACTGCGCCCCCGCGCGCAGAGGCGTCCGCTCGCACCCACCGCCACCCACGCCCTCTCGGCTGCGCCCAGCCCGTCTTTGTACGGGCTGATCAGAGCCAATAGTGATGGTGGTGGAGGTGGAGAGGGTGTAAACTGTGTACATTCCACTCTCTGGCACCCCCAGGTGCGGAGGGAGCGCACCCCGCTTTACCCCAACGGATCCCCTCTGCTTCTCTTTGACCTTGGGTCTCCAGCTTCTTCACGATTGTGGATTGAAGACGATAAACCACAACCAGATGGAGGTATATTTTACACAGAAAACTCGGCCTCTCCAAATCTTAGCCCTCAAAGCGCCGGGTGGGGTTAGAGAAAAGCAAGTTATTTGTGGGGGAGCAGGAGTACCCCTCGTAAGGCGCGCGCGCGGCCCGGAGGGCTCCTCTCCGGCCCCGCGCGGCCAGGCGGAGTGGCTGGATTATGTAAGTAACAGCCTCCATGTGCTAACCACCATCTGTTAATATCTTGATATTGGAAAGTTCGGTGCCTGAGGCAAAGCCAGGGCGGGCGGGAAAGATCCCAGCCTACTCCTTACTCCTCCAGGGCAGAAACGCAACTCCCTTGATTATTTTCGCCCACTTCCATAAAATCCAGTGGTAATGGGACCTTCAATCACAGACACCCTCTCTCTCACCCACCGCGGGTGTGTGTTTGCAGGGGAGGAGTGATTTTCTTGGCGGTCACCTTGTCAAGAGTCTCTCCTTCCTATGAATTTATACTTTTCTGACTCTTCTGTGCTCCTGTAGGTAAAGTGGGGGATACTTATTTGGGGGCAGGGGCTTTATTATTTTTTTTAAAAAAATTTTCCCTGCTAGGACCCCTTTCTCAAATTCTTCTAAGAGTGATATTTCGACTTCTTTGGATGGATCGCTTCTGTTTACTTTGAAAGCTGTTGGTTAAACAAACCTCACTGAAGGCTCTGAGCAGTGGGGTTCCCCAGAGAATGCGCCACAGCTGCTCTTGCTACTGATCTAGTGGCATTTCACCCCCACCCCATTCAGAACAGATCCAGGTTGAGTTCGGCGTCACACTGCGCAGCGCACCGGGTGGGGGTGACGGAGAGAGAGAGGCCAGCAGTCACTCAGCCACCAGCGACCTGCAGCAGGCCGGTCTGCACCCCAGGGTGGGTTTCTTTCTCTTTTCCCGTTCAGCTTGGTGGCAAGGGTGAGTGGGTGACCGGGCAGGTTCCCGGCCATCCTTCTTCCAAGCCCACACCCTCGGTAGCCCCTGTAGGAATCTAGATGAAATTCCCAGACTTGGTTTCAGGCTCCGAGGATGGTTGCTCGGAAGGTTTTAAATTACCCATAGGCACCGTCTTCCCTCCCACCCCCCACTCCCCACTTAATATCTTTAAGAAAGAGCAGGTCGGAGGAAATGTCAAGGCTGAGTGTGTTTAGTCCAAAACCGGACAGGGGTGATAACTGCAGGAACGGACTAAGAACCCACAGATCACCTCTCAGATAAATAAACGCAGTCTGCACGGAAAGGGTTGGTTAGAAGATCGGTCACAAGTTGTGTTAACTTTTAAATTACTGAGATTGTGCTGGCCACGGGGCAGGCAGAGGAAGGGGCTGCGCTGCGCTGACCCTAAGCTTGGCCGCTGGCTTCGCAGATGGAGCTAATATCTCGGCGACTTCTCGTCTCCGGGCTGACGGTTCGCTTCTTCCCTATCAGAAAAGAGTCGCCCGAGATAGGAGCTTGGGCCTCACGCCTTGCTCCAGGGCCACTTAACCCAGGACAGCCAGGCAGTCCTGGCCAGAGAGGTTGCCTGGAGCCTGGCCTGCGCGTCGCCGGGCCAAGAGGGGAAGGGACGGGCTCGGCGGTGGCAGCCCGCGGAGCTGGGCTGGAGACCGAGCTCGCTCGCCCGCCCGCCCGCCCGCTTGCCCGGCGACGCGCGCTCCTATTTCAACCCGCGGTTCCTGCGCCCTAAGGCGGGCTGCGAACCGCTCCTGCGGAGCGTGGAGAGCCGGGAGTCGCCGCCGCCCGGGCTGGGGGCAGGGGAGTTTCCTTGTTTGCCCGGAGGGTTGTTACCCCTACTTGACTCGGGCCTGAGTGAGAGAGGACCGACTCGGGGCGCGTAGGGAAGGTGTGTGCTGAACGTACAGAGGAGCGCTAGGTACAACCGACACAAACTTGCGCGCTGAAGTTGAAGCCGTTTCTTTCCAGGGTCTTAATCTTTTCTCTCTCTCTCTCCCTTTGACTTCTATCTTATCCCTTCTCCCTCTTTTCCTTCCCTGGCCTCTCGCTTCAATGGCAAGCTGAACAGATGGTTTTAGGGGTGGAGGGGATACGTCCCCAACTCCTACCAGTTGTATTTGTGGAGAGATGCTAACCTATATATTAACTTACACATTCGTAAAGTAAAATAATAGGACGGGGGAAAGGTGCTTTGGATCCATTGTTAGAGCCCCAAGTCGCCACTTAACACACCCGCTTATCTCGAAGGGACCCACCCAACAGAAGCATGATTCCTGACGGTATCTGTGTTGATAGTCACTTCGGTTCCCAGCCTGAACTGTCACACCCCCATTAGAACACTGCATACAGAAGCCGGTCGCTGGAGGTGTGAGCCCTGAGTGTGGGCGCCTCCACTTTCCATGATGGAGGGAGGCGAGTGTCTGAGGGTGGCGAAGGGGGCGAATGGAAGGCTGGTGACGCTCCTGTGAGTCTGTTTCTTACTGCTGACACCAACCTGTTTGACCTTATTACTCCTCCTCCTCCTCTTCTTAATGCTTGAATTTCATGCCAAAAGTTTCCTACAGAGTATAGACTAGGGCGTACTAATGTTGCTATTCTAATTCAAAGAGGAGACTTAATATCCCCTTAACAGTGTGGTGAAGCTGAAGCCGAAATTGTAAATGTCCTGTGAAGGACTGGTGTCCCCCTGTGTCGCAGACGAGGATGGTAGTGGTCGGCCAGTCCAGTGTACCAGCAAGGCACCTCATAAATACTTCGGTCACAACTCATGATTCAGCCTTTGATCTGATTAAATTTGAGGGACACAGGAAAACTAGTTGTCCCCATCCAACCTAAAAGACGTCCATCTAATGGGGTAGGTATGAATGTTTCTGCTTCCCAGCTCATGCAAGCCCTAGCTTTTATAGGATCTTTAAATCATAAACACGGCTGCTTTATTAAAAGCCATTTACTGTCCCCAGTGAAAGAGACCTTCTAGCTGAGGCTGGAGGCTCTGTCTTCAGTGTCTGTTACTTTGTAAAGCCCAAAGCCGCATTAGGTAAAGAACCCGTGCTGGTTATTTTTCACTTCAGACAGGTCAAGCCAAAATGCACTTTCTTCAGTTGAAGTCCGAGATTTTAGCATTTGACATTTCTTGCCTCATAAACTTTAAACTTTGTTACTCTGGGGTCAAAATCGTGTAAATCCTGATGGACTGCTTTATTTAGTCGGTGTGGGGACACTGAGATGGAAGGGGGTCATTGAGAGATAATGTTTAGAACATATATTTTTAAATAGCTGCCGTAGCTGTAATCCAAATAACATTGTTAGACGTAACCCAGAGTAAATAGTCTTGCTCTTAATAATCTTGACGGTGATTGACTGGGACTCAGCCAATGTTGATCTTTTAATATCAGATGCAGCGAACTCAGCGTGAAACCTCTGGCACCTATCATTTTAATCCCAAACCTACCTGAATTTCATCGTCCACCTGCTCTTTAAAAGGACGAGTGACATGTATTGTGGATCCTAACCAGGACCGCTTTAAAATGGGATGATCTGTGGATCCCCCACTCCCTCCTTCTGTACCACCGCCACCCCTAAAAGCTCCACTTTGTCTCCAGTAGACTTTTCCGTGCCTTCCTGCACCCAAGTCCTAGGAGCGCTCGCTCGGCCACTCGGCAAACTCGATCAGCTGTATCTGGGAAATGGAAAACACACACACACACACACACACACACAGACACACAGACACACAGACACACAGACACACACGCACACACACGCGCGCGCGCGCACACACACACACACAGAAGGAGACGACGAAGACCTGCGTCCTGCGAGAGCGGTGCGCAGCGCCCGCAGATGGCTCGCCGTGGCCGGGCCGGCGTCGCTGCGTCCAGAGCAGCGCGGGGCGGGGTGGGTGGTGGCCGGGGAGGGGGAGCGCGGGGCCCCTCTCCCCTCCTCTCCTCCCAGCCCCGCACCCCCCACACCCATCCCTTTTATATATTTTTTTCCTCCCAAGTTCTCTTGCCTCGCTATCCCCCCTTGAATCCGAAGGCGCCTCGCGATTGGGTGCTGGGGCCGGGTACGTCAGTCAGACTGTGACGTGCAGTCTTCCTGTTTCCTTCAGCTGTGTCTTAAAGTAAATCTTGTCGTGGAGCGGAGCCCTCAGCCGAGGGAGCGCTCTGAAACCCTACACCATTGCAGCGGGCAGAGCAGAGCGGCGCAGAGGAGCCGGGGCCGGTCCGTCCGCGCCCCGCGCCCCCGCTCCGCGCGCCCCTCGCCGCTCCTCTCCTCCTCCGCTCTCCTCTCCTTTCCCCCTCCGCTCCCCTCCTCTCGGCTCTGCGCTCCGCTCTCCCTCCCGCCCTCCTCTCTCGCTCGCCCTCGCACCGACTCACCGTCCCCGGTCCGACCATCACATCCATCACCCGCAAACCATCACCGTGCGTGCGCGCGCGCGCGCATTTTCCGCTCTCTGCCGGCAAAAAAGAGAGAAGCGGAGAGAGGGAGAGAGCGAGGGCGAGAGAGAGGCTCGGTCCCACCGCTCTCCGCACCGCGTAAGTATCTTCTCCCCCTCGTGAGTCCCCTCCCCTTTCCAGATCCACTTGCGCCGGCTTGTTCTTGAATGAGGAGAGAAAAGAGCCTCCCAGGACTTATACCCGTGCGCACATTTTTTTTTCCAGGAGAAAGTGGTGTTATTTAAATGAATCCTAATAAAATAGCCTCTAAACAGTTTCTAAGCAGGAGCCACAGTGGGACCCGGCGCTCCGCTGCCCGCGATCCCGAGAGTAAGTGATCCGCTTGGCTTTTATTTCTTTCTCTTTCCTGCTGCTGGCTGGGGGTGGTGTGTTGGCGACGGGGGAGGCTGGTGTCGCTGGACTTGTCGCTGATCTTGTCACCTTTTGTGTCTTGTTTCTGGGGTGCGAGGAGGCGTCTGCTTCCTTCCCTTCTTTCTCTTGCCTTCTCTTCTCCGGAGAGGGGACCGCTAAGGGGACCAGGTCGCTTTTTGTTCGCCTGGATCTCTGCTCTCCACCAAGCCTCCTCTTTCCCATCTCCCCGGGCGAAAACTCCGGGGCTCCTCCCCACGTCCTCTCCCTTTGTCTTGTTTATTATAGCCGCCTTTCTTCCCGGCTCTTCCAATTTGCTTGTCATTTGCATACCTTCCACTTCTCCTTTTTAACCCGGGCAGAGGCCCGGGAACTGGGCAGAGGGCGCACGGGGGAGGGGGCGCTCTATGACTTTCCTCTCCCGACGCAATCCGAGCTTCAGTGTTGAAATTGGGACTGAAGCGGGGCAGTGATGGGTCCCAGGAAAGGAGCGCCAGGGTCGTGCGGAGTCGGGTAAGGCCACACCGCGAGTCCCAGGGGTCGCGAGGTTGGGGGAACCCAGGCCCGCGCGCCGCGGAAGACCAGGGTCGCGGTCCTGGAGGGGAAGACCAGTTCGTGTTCTTGGGGTGCGGGACGAAGGACCCCGCAGCCGTCGCCCGCGCTCTGTGCTGTGGCGCGGCTTCGGGCAGGTCCTGTCCGGGTGGTACCTATTGCTTCGCCCCAGTTTGGAGGATGGGGGAGGGAGGAGAGCGGAGGTGAGAGGAACTGTGGCTGGAAGCGCCGTGAGCTGGGCGGGAAGGAGGAAGAGCTACTATCTTGCCCGAGCAGACGGGGGAGGGGGCGGTAGACATCACCCAAAGTCCAGTTTAGCAAGTTGTTGGTTCTTCTGGCGAGCGGGCCGGTAGTCCTCCCGCGCTCGCAGCGTCGGTGGAGACAGGGATGGGGGTGGGTAGCAGGGAACAGCGCCCAGACTGCAGGGCCCCGGCTTCTTTCCAGCTTCTTCCGAAGTTGAGACTCCTCCGGGCCGACCCGGAGCAGGAACTGGAGGAGGGGGTGGGCAAGGCTGGACGAGTCTTCCCTAGCCCAGGAGGCAGGCTGGAGAGAGAAACTGCTGTTCTTGGCAACCCCGCGCCTTAGCCCGCCTGGGGGAAGGCTGGGAACTCACCTGCTTGTTTTTGTTTTTCCGAGAAGGTCTGTGTTGTCTCCTTAAGCTTATGAAAACAGAGCAAGCCCGGAGTGGCCTCCTCTCAAAGTCAAGGCTAGAAGAGTCTGTTCTCTTCCCCCATGCCTTCTCTTACAATAATAATAATAATAATAATAACAATAGTAATAATAATTTCCTTTCCTAAATTGGCTAGGCAGACGTCTATTAGCAGAGTGCGCATGGGCAGGGCCTGACAGGTGTGTTGTGTCAAGAAAGACAGGTGTAAATTTCCTCTGTGTCTGCGTGTGTCTGCACAGTTCCAGACCGCAAGGCTTGCTGGAGGGCTGTAGAGGTTTATGAATTTATGGTTGTCCTGGCTAATAAAGATTCTCGGGGCTAATGGGAATTGGGCTGTTGTTGTGTTTTGAACCCGGCCATGCGAGGTCTTTGGGAGGGGATGGGGGGGCCGAGTTGGTATGTATTTGTTTATTTTTCTTAAGCATGTTGGCCGGCTGCTGCTAAGGCTGTGTCTCAGGCTTCTGTCTGCCAGGGAGCCAAAAGCACCCCCACGTCAGGCAGCAGGTGGAAGGAGATTGACTTTCCTTTTGGTTCCCTCCAGTTTATGCCTATCTCATAGGTTTGTGTTTGGCAGAGAGAGAGAGAGAGAGATCCTTTGTGTGTGTGTGTGTGTGTGTGTGTGTGTGTGTGTGTGTGTGTGTTGGACAGCTATGGTGGTGTGTAACTGCCAGAAATACCAAAGTCAGTTTGAAAGTGTTGCTGGTGTTAAAAGCTTATTTTTTAGCCTGCTTGCTCCTCCCTACCCAGAAAGAATAGGTATATGCATGAACTCTTTCAAGGTATATGTTAAATAATCTCCTCAAGTAGGAATGCACGCCTGTCATTGTCCCAGACATGTGCCAGATGTCCTAGATAAGACTTTGATGGAGGAAGAAAATCTTAAGCAAATGAGAGCTAACTGCGCTTTTCTATTTGATGCAACATTTGGGCAATCAGTCTGTGAAGAGTTTCTTGCACAAACTTCTGAGTATTTTCGAAATGAAATGGGCTGTGTGTGGGGAGGAAGAAAAAGCAGGAATATTGGGCTTAGCCTTTGCACGTATATATTTATAGAAGGGCAAAGCAGATGAAGTCAAGGACCGTGGCTCAATGTGTGAGTGGAAATGTTGGGGAACCAGTGTAAACACTATATCTGGATTCTTAAAACTTGACCTTTAAAAAATTTTTCAGTAACAGGCTCCTTCTTTAAATTGAGCTGCTTAGCGAATAGGTTAGATGATAAATGGTTTTTGTTGTTGGGGAGGTTATCATTGTTTCCAAGAAAATGAGATAGTAGGTGTCATTTATTCTTTCAACTTATGCATCAACCCCCCACCCCATATTTTCCTTGGATGCTTTTGAAGTTCTTTGGTGATTAAAATGTCATCTATGGCTATGTTCATTTACTTTGTTTTTAATAGAGGTTATCTATGCTTGGCACTTATTGATATTTTTATGTGTCCATTATGCAGAATTCTATTTAGTTGAATCACCACCTTGTGGGAAAAAAGTCATGCATACATAACATGCATCTTTGTTCTCACTTTACTGCCTTGCTAGCATGGCTCTGCCCTCAGCAGCATATGCAATCTTAAAACCTCAGCTAGCTTATTCTGTAAGTTGCCAGATTTTCTCTTTATCTGTTCAAAACTTAAAAAGGCCTTTTTTCACCAACTTCTTGGAGAATTTCAGGGATTGTCTTAAACTTGCACTATTAATATGAGGATTTTTACATTTTGAATTTTAAAAAGAAAGTATAAAATATTAGTGGAGTGATAATAAAAATGGATTATATATGATGTACTATTATAAAATTCTAATTAAATAATTTGAATAAACTGGAAGGGACATATAAGGAATATATAATTGTCAACTCTTACTGCCTAATGTATTTCCAACCTCAAAGGATACTTAGAATATTCCAGTTTTCTGCAAAAAAAAAAGGCTAAGTGTTTTTTAAGATGATTTCTTACACTTTTATTTACCCAATTTGATGAATTATTACAACTAAATAAGTAGAAATCAATATTTCAGGCATGTCTCAGACAATGTTACATATTCATTTTGCAGGTGAAAAATATGTGGAATTTTTAATAGGGTGGAAGAATCATAAATGAAATGGTTACAATTTAAGGACTCTGTCATAATAGGAAATTTAAATACCTGTCAATGTAATCTTAGTTATTTGAAGTATTCACTTATGCCAAGGAGGTTCTTCAGAATAAATCTTAAAGACTTCTTAACTTGGAAGTAAGCAGAAATATCTCTAAAGGAAAAGTTGCTAGTTAGGATAAATGAACTCTTCAACACAGCGAAGGGAGGACAGCTTAATGATTTGGAGGGTACCTACAGCAAGTCATCTGATTTTTCCCTCTTGAATTACTGATTTTACACATTGATTTACAGTACTCTTTATTCATAAAATACCACTTGAAATGTCATAACCAGGTGAACCCCAGTAGGTCTGAGGCCCATTTAAAGCTGACATTCTAAAAGAAGTAATATGTAAGCAAATTCTTCAAATAATTTTATCAACAAAAACAGATAAGCGAAATGATCCAAGCAGGAAACCAAGCCAACCTTACACTTTCGCTGTCTCATAAAAGATTTGCCTGAACTATCTGGATAATGACCATAATGAAACGCTTCTTTGTCCAGGATCTGGAGTCCAGATAGATGCAGTAAAAGTTACATCTCCTCCCAAATAACTTCTTTATTAAAGTGCAGCTCCGAACCACTTTCTGTTCATATTGCAATGTTCCTTTGAAATTCTTTACTGAAAATGCTTTTCTGCTAACATGAAGTTACCAATATCTTTAGGATTCTCTGTGATAAAGAGAATGTCAGATAATTCAGATTCTATTGAAGACTCTTTGAGGTAGTTAAAAATCTGACTTGATCATATCTTAATGTTTGCTCTTATCTTTTTCTGAGAAGAATTGCTGTGCTGTCTATTGTGTAGGAGTTATTAAAGCACTTCTGTAGGTTTAGATGCCAACAGCAGCAACAAAATAATAATTGCAAATTATAGGTAGATTTCACATTAATTAAAGAGCATTTTATAAGAATAGAGCATATTTGCTTAATGATAATTTGGGTTCAATTTTCACATCAAATTTTTTTCTGTCTGCTTGCTGATATTAATATTCACCATTCTGATATGCTGATCAAAAAGCTTCATGTTGCCTGGTTACATTCATAATTAATGTTAAAGTGAAAATATTGTAAGAATCAATATTAATTGTTGTGACATTAAGGTTTAATACATATGTTGAGACATGCAGGAGTTTTTGAAAATCTGAATGGACAGGAAGGACCATATAAGTGATAAAGTCTTTGCTTAACGTTCTTTGGATTCTGAATCAGGAGATCATAGAAACACTTGGGAAACGTTTTTACATGATCTGATATATTATGATCATTTGATAGTGCATTTTATTATAGGGCAAATATTCTCACATGTATATATTGTTTATGAAATATGATGCTAGTGAAGTGCTGCATGAGCCAGTTATATTGTTTATCTTGTCTATAACCTCTGTGGGTCTCAACGTGCACCACCACTCTAAACTTTATTTCTAACTTTAGATCTAAGCTATAAGGAGAGCTATTTTCATTTGTGCCTCATAATATCATGCCTCATCTTGCTAGATTATATAATTTTTTCTTTTTTTTTTTTTTCCCCAGTTGTTCTGTCCTACTTGCTGGGCCTCAACTGGACATTTTACAATAAGGCCTAAAATTATTGAAATTCTCTTAGCTCAAAATAGAAAGAAGTCATAATTTGATTTAAAAATGCTAACTGCTTGAAAGACAATTGTGAAAGATCAGTTTAGCTTGATGAATTTGGAGAGAGTTACAGGATATCTTGTTCTTCATGGACTCAGCAAACATGTTTAATTAACACTTAGTCTCCATTGAGGATGAAAGCATCGTGTTTTTCCACCTTAGGAAGAGCCGGCCCTCTTCTTGGCTCCGGCAGGAGGCAGGGATGCAGCTGTTGATACCTAGGCTAGAAGAGAGGAAGTGTATTTGACGCAGAGGTCCATGGCGGTTGGGAAAGGAAGGATGCCTGGGATGACCTTGTGTTCATCAAGGACATGAGCATGTCCTTTCTGAGCCTCTGCTACATCTTCCCATGTCAAGATGGGCAGGAGCAAAGCCCAGCTTGTGTGTTAAGGTGAATAGGGGGAAAATATTACAGGAAGTTCAGTCAACATTTTGATTAGAGATCCATGTGCTTTGCTGATGATATTAAAGAGAAAAATATTTCTACTAAAAAAGAGATGATATTTTTAGATCATAAACTGTAGATTTGGAAGGTTCATATAGGTACAAAAGAACCTTGTCATACCCCCTAATTCAAATATTCCTGTAACTAATAGATATTTTAAATAATTCAGTCTTTTTCCTCTTCCTCTCACCTGACAGCTATACCTGATTTATCAGATCTAATGTGTCAGTGGAATATTTGTCACTGTATTTTTGTATTCCTGAAACCAATTTTATTAGTAGTATGTGAGGAGTCTCAATCATTCTGAATCCAATTTTGAACCCAATATTAAAGTTACTAAGACCTCTGTTTTCATCCAGAGTGCAGGACATTTTATCCTGAAACATAAAGGAAGTATTTCATCCTCAAGGTTACAAAAATATATGGAAAGAATTATCATCTGGCTTGCACGATGCTCTAAAACAGGCTATTTTAAAAACTATATTTTCATATAGACTCCAAGATCAAATACTGCATGATGAAACCTTTGCCAGGTTAAAAATCATATATATTGTTGCCATGTAAGCATTGAGCATTTTCTTGATTTTTACAGGTTATTTCATGCTGAAATTATGCCTATTTGCATGAATAGTCATTCTTTAAAACTAGCCACAGATGCAGTCCTAGGGAGCACGTAGATGTTTTTACAGGTGAACCGAGAGAGATGGGAGCCGTTCCAGACACTCTGCACGCTGCCTTTGGCAATAGAGCCTGTTATTGTGAAGATGTGTCTGTTAAGCGAACGTGAAGTTCAATATCAGATAAACCTGGCATGAAAATTTCTTTTCCATCTTCATCGTAAAATGTTAATTGTAAACAAAAAGATGTGACATCTTACATGGATACAAAATTTGGGGTCAGCGTTGCTAGTTAACAAGTCCCACAATATGTCAAGTGCCTTTTGTAAAGGGCAAGCAAGGATGTCTCTTTTTTATATTTTGTCCCCAAGAATCAAAGAAAGTAGCTCCCTTTCTCACATATTTGATTGATGTTTTATTTCTCTCTATACCTTTCAGTTGGGTTTTTGTTTTTGTTTTTCCTTTCCTTTTACTTGGCAGAGGAAATAAAATGCACAAATGCTGAGTGTCAGTTTCTTTAGGCATTTGGAGAACTATTTTGGCAGATTTTTACATAAGAAAACTAGTACCAAAGATGTATTTATCCTTGCCTCGTCCAATGATATATTATTCTATGTAGTGGTCTCTAAAATGTGACAACAGCCTTCTTTTGCAGTGAATCCAGTTTTCTAATAACTAAAGCCATCAAAAGGACAACATGAAAATTTAGAAATATGCTCCTAGTGACATTTAGATAGAGCAACAGATACCATCATCACATAAGACTTCAATAATAATAATGCGTAACTTTGCTAAATGAACAGACTTGTAAAATGAGGACTTATGCATTGACTTCAATGCTAAATTGCTCATTTATGTTTGAAAGGTGCTGACTGGGGTGTTCTTTTCATTTCACATCTGACAAAAATATTTTAAAATTCAGTAATAAAAGGTATGTGTTGAATATTTGCACTTACCTTGGAGTCTTTTCCTTTAGTAGCACTCAGACCACAATAATTTTAATGCAGACGTGGAATTTATCATCCAAATTTCATGCAGCCTCAAAATTTAACCTTATTTCTTAAGTATAGACCACTTTCATCTTCTTTTATAATACGAATCTCAAAGCCCAAAATTTAATCAATTGGTTGTCAGAGGCTGTGTTCTTATAATCTACTGTTTCTTCTGAAGATAAACAGTATCATTTTAGGCATTTGTGAAAGAGAATCATATTACTGGTGCTTAAGCAGTTTTTGCTTTTTTTTTAATCTTAATCCATCTTAAACCAGTGGAGCAGAAATATTTAAAAATGTTTCATTTCAAGCAGAGTGCATAATAAATTGCAATAATTGTAATGTGCCATAAATCCCAGAGCCTATGCATTTTGCATTTGATTCAGGATTGAGGTCAGGAAATTTGGAGAAATTTAAAGAAAATGATTCATCAGTCCTTTTGTTCTGTTGGCCAGGGTCCCGGGATTCTTGAGCTGTGCCCAGCTGACGAGCTTTTGAAGATGGCACAATAACCGTCCAGTGATGCCTGACCATGACAGCACAGCCCTCTTAAGCCGGCAAACCAAGAGGAGAAGAGTTGACATTGGAGTGAAAAGGACGGTAGGGACAGCATCTGCATTTTTTGCTAAGGCAAGAGCAACGTTTTTTAGTGCCATGAATCCCCAAGGTTCCGAGCAGGATGTTGAGTATTCAGTGGTACAGCATGCAGATGGGGAAAAGTCAAATGTACTCCGCAAGCTGCTGAAGAGGGCGAACTCGTATGAAGATGCTATGATGCCTTTTCCAGGAGCAACCATAATTTCCCAGCTGTTGAAAAATAACATGAACAAAAATGGTGGCACAGAGCCTAGTTTCCAAGCCAGCGGTCTCTCCAGTACGGGCTCCGAAGTACATCAGGAGGATATATGCAGCAACTCTTCAAGAGACAGCCCCCCTGAGTGTCTTTCCCCTTTTGGCAGGCCTACTATGAGCCAGTTTGATATGGATCGCTTATGTGACGAGCACCTGAGAGCAAAGCGTGCCCGGGTGGAGAATATAATTCGGGGTATGAGCCATTCCCCCAGTGTGGCATTAAGGGGCAATGAAAATGAAAGAGAGATGGCCCCGCAGTCTGTGAGTCCCCGAGAAAGTTACCGAGAAAACAAACGCAAGCAAAAGCTGCCCCAGCAGCAGCAACAGAGTTTCCAGCAGCTGGTTTCAGCCCGCAAAGAACAGAAGCGAGAGGAGCGCCGACAGCTGAAACAGCAGCTGGAGGACATGCAGAAGCAGCTGCGGCAGCTGCAGGAGAAGTTCTACCAGATCTACGACAGCACCGATTCTGAAAATGATGAAGATGGAAACCTGTCTGAAGACAGCATGCGCTCAGAGATCCTGGAGGCGCGGGCCCAGGACTCCGTGGGGAGGTCAGACAGTGAGATGTGCGAGCTGGACCCGGGACAGTTCATCGACCGGGCGCGGGCCCTGATCAGAGAGCAGGAGATGGCTGAAAACAAGCCCAAGCGAGAAGGCAGCAACAAAGAGAGAGACCACGGGCCAAACTCCTTGCAACCAGAAGGCAAGCACTTGGCTGAGACCTTGAAACAGGAGCTCAACACTGCCATGTCACAAGTCGTGGACACTGTGGTCAAAGTGTTTTCGGCCAAGCCCTCCCGCCAGGTTCCTCAGGTCTTCCCACCTCTCCAGATCCCCCAGGCCAGGTTTGCAGTCAATGGGGACAACCACAATTTCCACACCGCCAACCAGCGCCTGCAGTGCTTTGGCGACGTCATCATTCCAAACCCCCTGGACACCTTTGGCAACGTGCAGATGCCCAGTTCCACAGACCAGACCGAAGCACTGCCCCTGGTGGTCCGCAAAAACTCCTCTGACCAGTCTGCCTCCGGGCCGGCCGCTGGCGGCCACCACCAGCCCCTGCACCAGTCGCCTCTCTCGGCCACTGCAGGCTTCACCACCTCCACCTTCCGCCACCCCTTTCCCCTCCCCTTGATGGCCTACCCATTTCAGAGTCCATTAGGTGCTCCCTCCGGCTCCTTCTCGGGAAAAGACAGAGCTTCTCCCGAATCCTTAGACTTAACTAGGGACACGACGAGCCTGAGGACCAAGATGTCATCTCACCACCTGAGCCACCATGCTTGCTCACCGGCACACCCGCCCAGCTCGGCCGAAGGGCTCTCCTTGTCGCTCATAAAGTCTGAGTGCGGCGATCTTCAAGACATGTCCGAAATCTCACCCTACTCGGGAAGTGCAATATCCTTTTATTTTCCCCTTGAGGAACAAACAAAACAAAACAAAGCAAGAAGGTTGCCCCAAAGGCTAGCTTTACTCAGGGTATAGGGTGATGTAGATCAGTATCTTCTTAAGAATGCAGTCTTCCCTATTATGCAGTGTAACAGCTCTCAGCAGTGTACAGGTGCATTTCTGATTGCAGGAAAGCTTAGACCTACACGGTCTTTGCAACTTTCACAAGTTGTTAATTGCCTCCAGGAGCTGGTATCTGATGCCCTTTCCCAGGAGTATGTGTGTGTGTGTGTGTGTGTGTGTGTTTTCTTCTGCTCTTCCTGTACTCTCATTCTCTCCCTCTCTCTCTGAGTAGACTCACAGATTGCAAAAAAAAAAAAAAAAAAAAAAAACTCACTGTAAACATTGAACTCTCGCAGGTACTTCATAAAGATGGTGTGTTTTATTATACAGTAAGGAAAGAAGCCAGAGTTCGGATCTGTAAGATTCCCATTAAGAAGAATCCTCACCCTAAACCATCCGCAAACCTTCTTGTCCCCGTAATAAAGGCCCAATTAGATCTCAGGAAGAGCACTTTATTGGTGGGAAGCTGCTAAGCTGATGCAGTGCGAGAAAGGCAAGCATGAGTGAGGAGTTATTCTCGCTTTAATTTTGAAATGAGACTTTTTTTTCTTTAAGGAGATACACAGGTACTGATTTATTCAGACGGCATCGGCCTCTCTCACTCACCCAAAGTCTGTTCTTTGGGCCTGGTGCAGCTGCTTCTATGCATGATTAACCTCTGCTCAGCCATACACAGAAATCTTTTGTCCTAACATACACAAAGCAAATTATTTTGGAAAGCAGGGGAGCACAATTAAATATAAAACTCAGCAGTATTCGACTTAAAAATGGCTCTTTTTATGACTCCTTAGCATCCCGCTCCTGACCTTTATGTAGAGATGCCGATTATATTTTTTAGTAGACGTACCCTGAACTCTGGATATTTTAACTGATTTACTTTTCTCTGTCAATCAGTCCTTAAATATCTGAAGACTCTTGTGATAGTCTCTTGGGGTACAATAATAGCATTTGGGGACAGGTGGAGGCATGTTTCTTATATAATAAATTACCAGATGGATATAAAATTTAGCAATTAAGTTGGCTGTTACTAAATTGAGAATTTTGAGCAATCATCTTGATGACTAGAGACTGACATTTTAGTATCTGAGCCCACTCCAGAGGCTGCCACGTAAGTGCGAAGTCCCAGCTATGGTAGAAATGTTTTCCTGGGTCATCGTCCCAGCCAGCTCTCAGGGTAGTAGTGAAGCCTTTTGGTGAGGAGGATGAGCCACAGGCATGAAGCCCCTGGGGTGGTTAAACGTGAAGTCTCTTTGCATGCTGAGGAAGAAGAGGAGTCAGCTGAGAGAGAAAAGGGAGAGAAAGATGCTGAAGTGGTAGATCTGCGTCTTGGCTTGGTTACTGATGCAACTTCAACCTCTCGGGGGTCTAAAATTCACTGCACCAGTCATCAGGCTACATGACATGAAACACTGTGCTTTTCATTTTAGTATCTGAGCAGGCAGGAAAGTTTGGTCAAGATGATAGGAATGGAGATGGTTGGTGATGAGAAAGTTCAAGTGAGAAGACACAAGAAGGTTGGATGGGTTTTCCCCCTTCACAAGAAGAGCATCTCTCAAAGTTCAGGCCAGGCTGATGTCTAGCGCTAGACCCCGTTGAGAGATCCTTGAACTTCATTTTGGAACAAGTAGGAAAGTAGTAGTGATGTTAGGCTCTCCTCTCATGCACAGGGGAAGGGAGAGAGAGGGAGAGAGAGGGAATATGTGTGGACATGCATGCCCATGTTGGTGAATATCTGAAGCTAGGTTTTAAAGTTCTAAAACTCTTGCTCCTAATGCTAGTTTATGTTCTTAAACTTAGACTTCTCATTATCACAAGCTAATTCTAATTGTGCCTTTGTATTTTTTTTAAGTTAGTTTGATCTTCCAAGGGGGGGAAAACTCCAATCTTTTACATGCTTTAAGTGTCAGCCATGAACACATTGTCTCCACTCACTCTGTCTTTCTAAATCCCTGGAGGAATTTGGAGGATTTGAATGGAAAGAACTTCCTTCTTCTTGTGTACATGTCAAAGGCTGTAAAGAAAATAGTTACTCCTCCACAAGTAGCTTCTCCTGTGTCCTGCCAATAAGATCCTGTTGAGCAGGGGCGGTGGTAGACACCCATGTTTGTATGAAATGTCAGTGGTCAACACCTCGAGGTCTTTCCTTCATATGGCTGAATGCTTTGCGCCCCTTGTTGCAATGAATGACTGTAATTTTTGCTTTTTGACCTTCTCACCTCACTGCTTTCTCCTCCTTCTCCTCCACTACATTGTGCTTTTAACCATTTGGCTCATTGGTATATGGTTTCCCAGGAAGAAGATGGTAGGCTGGCAACCTTTTCTGTAGTTCCACAGTTCTGAAGCAGCGAAAATCCAAGTATTTGCTGGCACATTGGATTGGATCCACTTTGCTCCTCTCTCTCTCTCTCTGTATGGCAATGAGTTCCTGCCTTGATTTACCTAACATATACATATCCCACCCTTCTACACAATTATTTGGATGAACCATTACAGATTTCTCAAGCTCGGTTTGAAGAACTGTCTGGGCATCCCAGTGAGTGATATTTTACTCCATTTTTAGGGATACAGGGCCGTAGCTGAACCTGTTGTACAGTGATTCCTAGAAGAGAGCAGTGGAAATGACTTGAAAGGGTACACTAGAATTGCCAGTAGCACATTCCTGATTTTAGTTCATGGTTTTCCAAATTACTATAAATAATTTAATTCCTGAGGAATGATTCTGAATCCAAAGGGCAGCATCTGATTTTTGAACAAACTACCCAAGATAAGAACGGTTCAGCACACCAGCTTGTCAAATCAGCCCATTCTAAGTTGAGCACACTAAATATATCTGTGCTGTGGACAAGAGCACGGTCCCTCAGCACGCCCTCGAGGAGGAAGGAGGTCCTGGATGTGTGCACATTAAGCCGAATGTCAGTGCACCTGGTCAAAGAGCTCATGTCTTGAATATAAAAAACGTGTTCCTGTATCTTTGCAAATGAATCTATTTAACCAAATATTAAGTTTTATTCAAATTCCAAAAGAAACAAGACAGCCAATTGCTTTTCTTCGTGATGTTCCTTGTCACTCATCCTCTTTGCATCTCAAGAAAAATAGCCTTGTTTAGGCCTCAGCCATTTGCATACATCCAATTAAAGCACAAGAGCAGTATTATGAGCCATTAAGACGTGCAGGTGAAGAAGTCGAGCCTGTCCCCTTGGCGGTGAGCTTTTCCCTACTCCACCCTTAGAAAGAAGGTTGAAAACACTGGAAGTTTAGACAGGAGAGCTTTCTAAGGATATGAAATTAAAATCCAACTCCCCAAACATGGTTAGAAATGCATTTCTGAAATGTGAAACAATCCCCAGAAGTTGATCTGTTACATTTTTAGGAGCCTTGTGGGTCACTACGTTTTAGTGACCATAGTTTTAGTGAGAGGGAAGCATGTAGATTAATGACTTCTAATCACGTCAACCTATAGAAAAAAAAATATAAACTTTTTAAAAAGTTACATATTCCACCGGGGATGCTGAACCTCTCAGGGGAGTCACAACCTGCTCTGTAACTACCATGAAATGAGAGGGTTCGGCTCTTTGCTCCCCACTTTGGGTTTCAAGAGCAAGCCCGTAGAAAGCGTTAATCCAAGAATAAGGAGAAAACCAAAATTCTGTAGGCTTCAAAACGCTTTGGGAAACATCAACAGACCCAGCGCGTGTGCTCAGAGCTCTGCACAGCCCTTTTAGCCACAGTGTAGATTTCTCTGGGAAAAAAAGAATTTTCCTTTGCAGCCTTCACAATCTATTATGCTTCCATTTGCCTTTTTGCTGCTTCGGCTGCTCCTCTGGCTGCTGCCGTTTCGGTAAGGTTATATTGTGCTTGGTAAACAGACAACACTTAGATTCTCAGGTTGTTTGGACCCCACTGTAGGATCAGCTGCACTAGCCTGCTTCTCTGATCTTTTATATTCCCAAGCAGATGTCTTTCATTAATTTATGGATTTATCATCTTTTTTTTCCTTTTTTTCTTTCTTTCTTTTTTTTTTTTTTTTTTTTTACACCTGGCAGCTGTCTCAAGTTTCAGCAGTTATTGTCTATTTTGCATTACACATAGAATTGAATGTCATCTGTCTTCACAAAGCTATGGCTAAGAGAATTGAAGCAAAGCCACACGAGCTGCCGGGACAGATCTTGTTTGCGTTCCATCCCCCTCACCCCACCCCCCTTACCTCCTTAATATTTATTTGTGCTCATTTTCTTTCCTGGCCTTGAATGGAGCTTAGCTCGTGTTCGGTACAGCTGTATGTTTACTGAATCTCTTCCATCGTGAGTCATTGTGCGTGTGTAAGTATCCAGGAAACAGCTAGTGCTTTCTTGGAAGAACAGTTGCTTTTCAGCACAAGCACTTAAAAGGGAAATTAACCAATTGGTCAGTTCAGATTTATTTTGAGGAGAAAAAAGGAGGATTATCTAACTGTTGGCTTCTAAATGTTTCATTAGCTATTTTTAATAGTTTATTAGAAACATATATTTTATGGGAATTTTATCTTAATTACACAATGAACAAGAGATAAAGATTTATTCTGTGTTCCATTTCAATTGATCAGTTCCAAGTACTGCCAACAGGAAACATTTTGAAGCAAAAATGAACTTGAGAAATCCAAATCAGAATCATTTTTTTTTCCCATTAAGTAAAAAGACTCTAAATCCTGATCAAAACAACGGATTTTTTTTTTTTTTAAATAAAAAGAACTAAAACTTCTTAGCACAATGTAGATGAAAGGAAAGCTTCAGGAAGTTTTGGTAGCTCTATGCCTATCTGAGAAATGCAGCAAAACAGTGTATATTTTGCGCGAGACCAAATTTTGAAAGATTTGGGACTTAGAATTAATTAAGTGGGGATGAGGTTTGTTTTCATGGATTCGTCTGAAAGAAAAGATTAGAACCCAGATCTGAGAATATGTGTGGAAGTTTGGACTTGCCTAAAACTCTTATCGCAAGGCAGTAGGAGACAGCTTGCAACCATTATTTCACTTATCCATTTGGACAGATGGTCCTGAAGTGTGCCGGGCTCCTTTCGTCTTCCCTATCAGTCTAATGGAGGTTACGGGAGAGCCTTTCAGCCCTTTCCTTGGCACAAGAAGTATGTCAGTCATAAATTATCGTCTTTGTAATCATTAAGGACCTCAAACAAAAACACAAGTTCAGTTAAGCTGCTTTGGCTCACAGAGAAAAAATCAAAATTTCTTTCTTCAGTGTTTATTTTGGTTAAAACACACACACACACACACACACACACACACACACACACACACACAAACAATACTTGGCTTTGCTATTTGCAAACCAAGGTGATCTTTACTTAAATTCCATGGGATCTGGGAGGAAATGTTAATTGGACAAATTCTCAGCAGAATATTTGGTTAAACACTCTGTTATAAGGAATGAAGAGCTTATCAATATTAATTTGATTATGTGTCTAATACCTTTCTTGTTTCCCTTCATTCTTACCATCAGCCGTGCTAAACCTGACGGAGGTCACTGGGAAAGCTTTCTCTTCCCTAGCAGTGTTTATCTGACCTTTCTCCAGAAGGCGTGAAATTTCTGTTGGTTGGTTAAGGTGTGTTATCTCTGTGTATGTGTGCGTGCACATTTTCTTTTCTTTCCTTATTTTTCTCAGACTCTCCTTGAAGTGAGAATCCTTAGAGAAGCTTCTAGAAAGGACCCTTAATTGACCTTGTGGGGGCCCACATTGATTTTCTCCACGTGCATCTTCATTTCTGATAAATTATAAAGCCATTAATTTGCTGAGGAAATGGCAGGGCCAGGCTGCCGCACAGATGTGACCAGAGCCATCCCAGCTCCGAGTCGGCCGAGGAGTGCCAAGAATCCGGGCGAGAATCAGGAAGCCTGGATTGTTATGGTTAGCCTCACTTTCTCTTGGGAACTGTTTTAGTTGCCGCTGTTTACAGATTTAAAAGGTAATGATGTTTCCAGATAAATAGGCCTTCTTATTTGGGGTAAGTGGCCATTTATTGATCTGCTAACCCACATTTATTGATTTGTTAGCCCCAACTACTGTGTCACTCTCAAAGGAGTTAACTATAAATCCAGGACAGGCAAATTGTATTTGGTTTTGGACGGTTGCTTTCACAAAAGCGACACCCGCTCCCCGTTCTCTCTGCCAAAGCTACCCCTCCCAAGTTTTAGCTATTATTTTAAAGGAAACTGTTAAAAGGAGGTAGTAACAAGATAGGGAGCAATGGAGTCAAGGAGCCCCATTCAACTAGTACTGTATTAAAAAGTAAAATGTGCAGTTTACACAACAGTGTTCAGAAGAATGCATTTTAGATTCTCGCATGTGTCAGCAGGATAATTTGATGTGAACTGCAGAATGTGGAGAGAAAAAAAATCAGAACCGCAATTGCAAAGAAGGAGTAAGAGTCTTCTGATAAGGGTTGTGCGGCACATGTTGGGTACATGTGTCTCCTTAGCAACAAGTGAACATATGGATAGCATACGGACCTAGACCAGGGAAAGGCCTGGCCATCCTCCCCACCAAGTAGCTGAGAAGCTGCAACTAAACTGTACTTCCTGGCAGGCAATGGAGCAGGGCCATGGAGCTCCCGGCATCCCCAGGGCTGCTTGGTGAGGCCCCCAGACATTCTGGGGGTGAGCTGCTATGAGGTCGAGAGGGATAGCTTTTTTTGTTGTTCATGGTTTTTTTTTTTTTTTGCCTTAACCAATTGCATCCTACATGCAGGAAGGATTGTCACCCAATCACTTGAAAAAAGCAAAGCTCATGTTCTTTTATACCCGCTACCCCAGCTCCAATATGCTGAAGACTTACTTCTCCGATGTAAAGGTAGGGACTTTTATTATTATCAGATTTTTTTTTTTCATTTTCTGTGCATGTGGAAGTGATCTAAACTCTGGGAAGTTAATGGAGATGAATGTGGAATCTGCTTATGAATACACCTGTGTTGGAATGGGCTGAATGCACTTGTCCTTTGTCTAAAGGTGTGTGGGCAGAGATGCCCCTTGTGTGTGAAGACGGAAGGACTGGTGTCCCTCAGTCACGTGGCTTTCCAGCGTAGTCCGGCAGCCCTGGCTTCTGCCTTCATAGGTTTCAGTAGCTTCCTGGAAGAAAGTTCCGGTGGTGGCGGGTGGACATGCTTTAGAGAAGTCGTTCCCTCTCCACTGCGGCAGTGAACTGTTTCTGTTTTTGTTTCTGTTGGTTTCCCCATATTTGTGCCTATGAAAGCAAACTCTCGCACCTCTTTTCTGCCCTGTCGGAAAGGAGCGTACATTGAAATTCTCTATGCAGTAGCTGCTTAAAAACAAAAGTGATGATTGTCTCTTATTTACAACTTAATTTGTTGTTGATGTAGAGTACACTGAGCATAAGGAGAATGAATAAAGTGACAGATTCAGGACACATTATTCAAATGAGGATATGAAAGCTGTCGGCCCACAGCTGCAGCCTCCCCCATTCTACAGAATACGGGGACCTCCTGGTCCTGTGTGTGCGCATATGCATGTGTGTGTGTGCATGCGTGTGTGTGTGTCTGTGTCTGTGTGTGAGTTTTAAGTAATTGTTTGCATCAACTTGATGTTATGTTAATCATCTGTAACTTTTTAAAACATAGATTGGGTTTTGATGATAATGGCACACATGGTATCATTATCCAAGGAACTTGATAAACATTACATTAGCTGAGATTAGTTTATTAGGGTTGGGTGGTTCCCCCCACCCCTCTCTGCCCACCCCCATATGTACAAGCTCTTTCTGCCACTGAGAACTCGCAAGCTGCCAACCCAGGCGCACTCTTCACCAGTCCCCTCCACGCAGTGTGTTCTGCGTCCAGCGACCAAGTTGCTTCCTGGGCCCCATTTTGCAGGCCAACTCACTTCAGTTTCCTTCACTGATGTTTTATTTGGCCTTATCAGAAAAGTTCTGCTTCCCCTCCTGTTTGCTTTTGAATTGTATGTCAACCTCAGCCTTTTATCATGCTCCTTCCCTGGCTGTGCGCCTCAAGTGGAAGGCATGTTTTCCCCTCACTGAGCACCAGCGGACTGGGGCCAGGATGGAGGAGGCCGAGAAAGTCTGTAGTGTAAAGGGCTGGCTGAGATCGCATCCACACACAAAAGGCTGAGTGACATAGGAGGCCAGGAAAAGAGTCTGGGCTCTGTAGTGGGGATACCTGGACTAGACCTATGGAAGGGACATGGTCAGCTCATTGAGGACGGGGCAGCTTCTACAACCTGGTAGAAACTGGCAAAGTTTGTCTTCCAGCTCTTCCTAGCACTTTGGTTCTAAGAGGGATGTGGAAGAGGAGGGGCAAAGAGTTACTGTGCGCTCACACACACTCACTCACACTCACACCTATGTCCCTGTTACCTCTTAGTGTAGTAACCGCCAATGTTGTGATAATTAGTACGGTAGCTGATATTATTTATACAGCACCTTTCATCCAGAAGGAGGCCAAAGAGCTTTATAGACTGCACACCCAGGGCTCACTCACCCACCCCTGAAATGCAGCCACCTGGAAGAGAGGGAGCAGCAGCTCTCTGAGCTAGCACCCCTGCCCCTCAGTAGATGCAAACACCAGAATCATTCATGTTGTGTGTGCCAGTGTGCTGGGAGAAGGCACCCAGTGGGAAGGTTACTGACCTGCAACTTTACAAGTACTGTGCAGTGGAAACCAGTAAGAAAACATTCCCATTCCTTCAAAATGTATCTAGAAATTCAACTTTACAAAGAACTACCTACTGTGCTTAAATGACAGTTAAATATCTGGTTGAAGATTTTTTTTGTTTGTTTTTTTTCCCATACTGGGAATCAAACTCATGACCTCACACTTTCCAGGCAGGCGCTGTGCCGCTGATGAAGATTTTATTTTTAAATAATTGTTAGTGTTCAGGTTACAGATTCCATCCATGCCTTCCTACTGGAAGAGAAGGCTGCTAAGGTATATGTGAGTTTGGTTAAATTATAATTATCCTCTCTAATGGAGAGGAACCCTTTGGACATATAATACAAATCAGAAACCCACCGAAGGTCATTTCTCTTTTACTTTTAGAATGAATTATACATTTTAACTTTCCTAATTATATTTTTTATTTGGCCAGTAATAAATGAATTTGCATTTCCTGAGCTCACACTGATGAGAATAAGAAGTCGGCATGAAAGAGCAGAATAGTCCAGGAATGGTGGTCTAGAGACTTCCGGAAAGCAGTGACAGAATATTCTGAGACTTTGTTAGTGTTACACATGCTTCTGAATCTCAATGTTAGCAATCTGCGGTGTGTACAGGTGTACATAGTACACATATATAATACTGTAAGTAGTATGCACAGTCATGCTAGATATAGCATATTTATATCTTTATCTACCTATATAAATGTGGATACTCTTTGCAGGGTTAAAAGAGCTGGATAGTTCTCAGTATACACTTTAAAGCTTTATTTTGGTCAGGATTTAAGAAACCACTGCAGGACTGAATGGTCCCTAGAAATGAGAAAAGAGACCTTCAGATTTTATCAGCCATGAAATTCTGTATTGGGAATGTTGAAAAGGACATATTCATGTGTCTGTGGACCAAGTAATGCCTGTCATAGTAACATGAGCCTTGGTGTGATTGTGGCCACATTCATGGAAGATAATTCATAGTTCTACTAAAATTTACTTTTCCAAATTGGAAAGTCATTTCTGTTCAAATAGTGATCAGAAGTTAGTTTTGCATGTAAATAAACCACCAGGAATGGCATGGGCAGAAAGGGTTTCTTTTCAAAGCCATAGTGGGCGGTGATGCAAGATGGGGTTGGTGACTGGCCAGCTCAGAAGGTGAGTGGGGAGTGGAGCTGTGCCCTCTTGGCATTGTTTTCTAGCAGTGCACCCAGTGCCCAACTCTCCCCAAGAGAAGCCACTGGGGCAGGAGGTAGATGCCTTCCAATTAGCGAGGAACAAGGAGGTCGAGGGAAATCCTGTACAATCTGGAGATGTTGACCCAGTGAGTTGTTCTATGATGCTGGATACGAAGGCTGACTCCCAGCTCAACTTACTTTACCTCCTAGAGTCAGGATCTACGCAAAGTTCTGTGCTCTCACGGCGAGTCCAACTTAATTCCCTCACGGTGACATTTCACCAGACACAAAGCTCAGCTCGCCAGGGCTTCAAATCCTTTGAGAAGGGCAAGTGGGCAAAAGGGAGAGAGATGCCAGGGGTGGGTGGACGGCACTGCCTCTCTTGTTCACTCCTGGGTGCTGATTTTAATGTGCAAACTAATAACTCCTAGAGCACTAAGTACAACAGATTCAGTGTCATTTCAGCTTTGAAGAACAGACGCTCACAGCCTTTCAAGCCAGCAGTGTTAGATGATGTATCTCCTCCCTCCACCCCTTGAGTCAACCGCTGCCTAGCCAGATTAAGGTGTCAGGTTGATTTGTTTTATACATCTTTTGACCATGCTCATTGAATATTTAGGAAGTTTCTTCAGCCCATATTGAGGCTGAGATGTCCCGTGGGAAGCATTAATCAAAGTCACAGAGACTCGTACACTGTGGAAACACAGGCTCTTTATTGTAGCGATTAGTTTTTGCAGTAACACATTAACACACTACAGAGCTTGCCTTTACAGAACAATTGATCCTTTTCTTGTAAGCCACTACACAACGCGGGAAATTAACTCTTTCAAGTTTAACACTTTCCCTCCCCCAGCATGAATATCTAGAAAAGAGACGGCTTGCTTTGCTTTTGCTTTTTTGCCAGGAACAAACACTGAGAGGATTTCAGTCCCCTTCTGGTGGAGGGGAGCCCTGTCCCTCAGGCTGTGGTGCTGGTCATTTTGCTTGCCTCGTGTTCAGGGCCTCTTGTTTCTGTCCATTCTTTCTCTCTGGTATTTCCATTCTCCAACAATAAGCTTTAAATCTCCCTTTATGTCCCATTCGTAAATAATGGCAAGGGCACTTACTTTTTTGTCCTCCCCCATTAGGTCATTCATGACCATTCTAGAAAAAAAAATACCCTTCTATTTTTTCCTCTACAGTACTCTTGTCCATATGAGACAATGTCTTGTAACAATACAGAAGCCTAATCTCCATGTCAAAGCAATTTTCATTCCCCAGTGCACAGCCTGCTATCATTTTGTAATGTTTTGTTTCTTATTCTAAAAGAATTAAAAAGGAACAGTAAGCCGTCGCGGGGGCCTGTAGTCCTTATCTCAGTGTCTGGAAATTTGGACAGTGTATTTTACTGCTGAGATAAAATGGAAAGAACTCCAAGTTCAGCAAATCGTAATGGGTTTAAGTTCTATTGAAATCGGCAACCAGAAGATCAGATAACGGGGGTCCTTCAGTTGTCTTTTTAATCGGGTTCCCCGCGAGGCTGAATAGAGACAGAGCAGGCACACAGAGTGAAAATATAATTCTTGGATAGGTTAAGTACATGTTTGAACTCTTGCAAGCAGAAGCGATTTGCTGATGACTTAATCATTTTCTGGTCAATTATCTGTAAGGGCCCTTGCAACTCCATGGCAATTATGATGCAAGTTGGCCTTTTGGGAGGAACACCAGTCTCCCTGCTTCTGTTTCCTTGTTACTTCCATTCTCTGCCATAAATTTTCATTCAGTTATTATCTTTGCTAGTATAGAAACAACTTTCTGTGTAGTAATTACAGCCCCAATACACACTTTAGCTGTCATCTTGTTGGGGTCTGGATGTTCTCATGGCCAGTATTTGATAAGTGCTCTTTGTTGATTTTTGATGAATGTACATCTTTTTCTGGGGGCCCAGAAAAGGGATGACAAAAGGCAGGGGGTATCTGTCAGCCCGCCTAATATAAAGCTTTGGATTTATTGGTTTTGACTTGGCAAGTTGAGACACATCTGTCCTTTACACAAACAGAGGACTGTCAATAAGGAGGGTACCGTTTGCAGTGCACCCAGGAAGCCATCTTCATTGCAAAGGTCATCGAGAAACCTTGGTAAACAAAGTTTTAAAGCCTAGTCATGTTACAGCAACTTGGCATTTTAAAAAAATGTAATAAAGGCTGTGTCTCGGTAGTCTGGGGACTCTCTTAACCGTGCCTCCCAAGTGGCATAAGCACCAAAGGAAAGGAGCATGGATCGCATCCAAAGTTGGCTGCTGGGGGCAGAAGAATAGGTACCACGGTTGGAGCAGACCACATCAGAAGCTCATAGTGGGGGCAATCAGTAAATGGAGTTGGAGCCAGATGGGCATGGGTAGAGATCTGTGACCAGAAAACAAGCAGGCACCAGATTCCTCCTGTTTTGTCAGAGAGCCATTTTCCTGTGCTGAAGGAGTGGTTATATGACAGTGCGAACTCTCATTTTTAAACATGTAGATCACAAAAAATGTAGATCACACTAGTGGTACAGTGCTGTGGCTCACCGTCTTTCACACCTGAGAGTAACAGCTCTTCCTAGGAGTCTATGACTTGAATGAGTTTCTGTAAGAAGTGCGCAGATGCATTCTGTGCCACTGAAACATGAAAAGCAATGTTATTTTTAAAAAAGATATTCAGCTCAAGGAATATCAGACTTAGTGTGTGAGTTTTGCATTGGAAATGTGGAGGACCGTGATGGGATGTCCATTATTGATCCACGTGATAGCTATTCTCTACATATATCATTGCTTCTGCCTCTCCTACCACCATTTTGGTGCAAATGTTTGCATTTCCAAGGAAAGAGGGGAGGGAAACTTTAAAAATATGTCAAATGTTTAAAAAATAAATGAACAAAAATGGTGATATTCTTATTTTTATAAACATTTGAATTTAACAGTTCAACAGATGCATTACCTCTCAGCTGATCAAGTGGTTTAGCAATTTCCGTGAGTTTTACTACATTCAGATGGAGAAGTATGCCCGCCAAGCCATCAACGATGGGGTCACCAGCACAGAAGAGCTGTCTATAACCAGAGACTGTGAGCTGTACAGGGCCCTGAACATGCACTACAATAAAGCAAATGACTTTGAGGTAGGAACTAATCTTCATTTTTTTGATCATCTGCCTTTTACCTTATATAAAATTTGATTTTCTTTAGAAATGTTTCCCCATGGGTTTTTGTGATGGTTTCTTACATAACCACACCAGCAGTGGAACCAGTGAAGCAGCATTAGAGACCTTCCCATTAGAACCAGAGGGAGTGGACCCCCCGCCATGTCCAGTCCCATTCTTTAGCCCACCGGGCGACAGAAAAGAGAACTGAAGAATCCACAGAAAAGGGCAGCAAGGAGCAGATACAGAGTGACTTCTCATCCAGGGAAGAGGTCTTTGCTCTAGTAGGCCTTTTCCATACTTAGATTCTGAAGTATTAGTAGAGTTGATATATGTTATATGCAACGTAGCTACAAAAAAAATAGTTTTCTGAAAAAGTCTAGAGCTGCTAATAGAGTGATCCCATGGTTTCTAATTTGAATTGACGTTCATTTCCTGGGTAGCAGAAATGGTATGAGAACTTACTGAACATGTATCAGAAAAGATCCATCTTTGCAAGGGTGGTTTTATTTCTGTGTTTGTGGCTTGGGGAGGAGAGACTTGTGCATTGATTTTGTATGTGTGTATCTTCCCAAGCATGTTGCCTGTTCCTGTGCTCATAGACAGCCTTGTGTATATCTACAACATGCACATTCTAGATACATGCAAAGTAACGTGGACAATTCCCAATAAGCTGTACCCCTACCCAAGGGACAATGAAAGATGCAGAGCTATGAGTAAGGCATTTCTTTATAGGCTAATGCGGTGCCTCAGCAAACAGTTCTCATCGCCATGTGATGGGTCTCGATGGGACAGCACTAGAAAATCTCCCAGGACTCACAAAGGCATTTTGCTGAGCCCTGCGGGCTAAAGCAACAATAGTTGGAGGTGGGAATGTAGCAAGAGCTCTGCAGACCAAACCCCCAATGAGAAAGATAGACAGACGCTGGGTTAACAAAGTTGGTCCATTTATTGTGTCATCTTGATTAGACACTGTGCCACCCTGAGTGTAGGACTTTTTCCTCCTACACCTTCTTTTAAAGGGACCTTATGTTAATATTCTTACTTTGATTCTGCAAATAGGTAACTAGGAATGCCCAGAAAGCTCTGACTCATAGGAGAGTGGAGCACACTGGTGTGACCCTGTGAATAAAGGGACATGACCTCTCCTCATTTCCCATTTTTTTTGGGCTTTTTTTGGCCCCTCTCCTTAGTGTTCTGGCCAGTGCAGATCAGTGATGGGGTTTATAACGAACAAAGTGTGTAAGCTTAGCAACTGGGAAGTCATTGTTTTTCCTTGAAAATTTGAATGGTTACACTGTAAGCTACCAGTGTGTCTTTGCAATTCAAGACCAATGTATTTCTTGCTAAATATGTGGTAGATGAACTTTTTCTTTTGCTGAACATATTAAAAAGAGATATTCTTAAAGTACTGATCCACTATTCTAAAACTGATATTTTTTTAAGTCTCTGCTGTAACAGAGCCCCGGTTTATTATGTTGACAGAACAGAAACAAGTTTCTTCTAAAGCTAGAGAATGTGGCTAGACATTTTGGAGACATTTTGCTAAGAGCCTCGTTTCCTCCCTCCCTTTCTGATAAGTCTGTTACCTTCACCTTAAGCTAAGAGACTTCTGCTGTGTGCTAGTAAATTATTTACATTATATTATGACACAGATATTCACTGGGCAGCACACATCAGGCTTCATGAAAGAATTGCCTGCGATTCATCAGATGATTTCTGCATTTCTGCTGTATAATGTACTCAAGGCAACAAATCCTTAAAGTGCACATTAGGATTTGCAGGGTTGTTTAAACCTTACCTGGTTGGAATTTAATCCCCTTGTCTCTGCGCAAGGACCAAAATGACATAAACAGGGGACACTGGCATCAAGAGGTACCCAACAACCTGCTCCATTTAGCTTCATCTAAATCCTCCTCTAATATGATTAACATCTGATAGTTCTCTCTTTGTGAATCATATCCACTTCCAGCCAGGCCACCTCGCCTTTATCTGCAGTGTCTATTTAAAGACTGCCTTGCAAGGAGCTTGGGGCCTGGGCTGGAATTCTGTCACTTCTCATGTGACTTTGGACAAGTTATTAGACTGTGCTGGGCCTAGTTCTCCCATCACTAAGAAGCAGACCCTTTCCAGAAATGTGGGAACTATAGTTTTTAACTTAGCCTTGTGGCCTGACGCATTTATTATTACTATTTCGTTAGCAATAACAAAAGTCTCAGATAAAGGGACGCTTTGTTTTCTGTGCTGCGGAGCTGGAGGTCCCTGCTTAAGTGAGATGCTTAAAAAGCCACTGTCCCTATCACTAGAGCTTTCCCAGCATGGACTGTAGCTGTGATCCAAAAGTGGATCAGGCACCTCAAGCCAAACACCTCAACTGATAGCGTACGCTGTGCTTTTCTTTCCCACCAAAGTTTCTTAAGATCACATGAAGCAGGACTATGGGTTAAGTATGAGCAAGTGGAGGGGATGGCAAAGTAGAAACCCTTTTGTACGTTTAAATTTTCCAAAAGACCTAAGTGTGGTAGAAAGAGTGACGCTGCCTCTACCTGCTGCCCAAGGAGCCAGTTAGTGCAGTGGAATATATTAGCCCACCTGAGTATGAATGGGCCGAATAACAAAGTGTCTTATTGATTGCGCATTTACATTTCTTCATCAGTTGTTTATAGCAACAATAAAGCCGCTAACATTTATTGACTGTTTGCTAATGTTCCAGGCATTTTCTGAAGTGTTTCACCAATATTAACTTACTTACGTGGGCAATAGTAATGACATGGACATTAACAGAATGAGACACAGTCCGGTTTGATTAAAACTTTATTGTTTTGAAATTTATTCCAATCGGACCCGGGGCAAGTAGAGCCGGCGGTAAGAGAGTTGATGAAGATCTTTTCCTCTGCTAGGCATCCTTCCTTCCTTTCTTTCTCTTCTCTACCCCTAGGCTTTCGGCAGCTGTCTGCTCTGTCTCTGCCTCTGTCACAGCTTGCTGTGGCACCTCTGGCCCTGCTTGGCACCCACTCCCTCCGGTCCCCACTGCTGCTGGCTGTCCCGGCTGGAGAAGTGGCTGACCCCTGGCCTACGGGAAAATAAAGCAGATGGGGAAGGTTTATCACTGGCAAAGAGGGAGTGGCTTGCGTCTCTTCTGGACCCTGCGTTTCCTGGCTTTTATGAGTCAGAACCTTCTAAGTGACAGGAGAGCTTGTTCTGCCTTTTGTATCAGTTTACACAATTGCCAAGATTCTTGGCACAGTGTCCAGGCTTAGGGTGGTGAGAGTTTGAGATGTCCCAGGGGATGTGGAAGAAGAGACATTGAAGGGGAGGAAAAAAAAGGAGCAGCAGCAGCACACTTTTGGTTTGTGCAGGCAGGAGGGAAGCTGTGCGCCGGGCACGGGGCGGGGCGCCTGGCCTCGGAGTGCATGCTGGCAGAGGTGCGCCCAGGAGGGTGTTCCATTACGGCCGTGTCTTTCGCTCCTGCCTCTCACATTTAGTAGTTTGGCAACAATAAATTTGTCTTTCCAGGTGTGGTGGTATATATTTCCGTGCTTTGAAGAGCTTCCAAAATATTTTTTTCTTTTCTTCTTTTTTTTATGGAGGCGAAAAGGAGTTTTGACATTCCTTCCCAGTTTTTAAATCATTCTGATACTTCTGACTTTATGGGCAAATGAGTTGTTTTCCTTTCCCTTTTCTCCCCCGCCCTCTTTTTTCTCCCTCCCTCACAACTATAGCAGAGAAGGGAGATCATGGTTGCTGTCAGGTTTCTGAGGCCAGTTCAACAGTTGTGCAAAGAACTCAACTTACACAGCTCACAAAAGTTAAATGCACTGAAAAAGGAGTGCAAACCTGGAGGTTTGACGGCATTCCCCAGAGTGCAGCTGAGAAAGGGAAGTGGGGGATCTGGATATAAGTAGAGGGGAGCCTGGTGGGCACCTTCATCGGGCACATGGAGCATTGTTTCAGTCTGGGGTACATGACATAGCATCCCCACAACCCACCATGGAAACCCAAAGATCCCTCAGTGGTTGGTCATGTACCTGTGGGCAGAGTCCAGGTTGCTAGGAAGAATGACTAATGTCCCTCACCCTCAGGACAGGCCCGGGTTTGGGTGTGAAAGGTTTGGAAATAAACAGAATAGAGGAACTTGATTCATTCATCAGAGGGCTTGGAAATGTCACTCGGTAAGGTATGGATGGGAGTAGCATCATCTTGCTGGGAGATGTTCCATCTCAGCAACCAGGTGACACATGAGTCAAGAGGGGTCCTTCCGCTGACCCCTTCATGTATTCTCTCACTTTCTTCTCAAAAACAAAATAAAAAGCAGCACCCCTCCCACAGACACCCCCTAGCTGAGTATGTCCCCACGCACTTACCGAATATATCCTCTCCACCCTGCCCGCCCCCTTCCCTCTGGCTCCAGCTTTCCACCAAACCCACATTTAAGAAGATTTAATGTATTTGGAAGTCTTTCATTCACGTCGTCATCTCTTTAAAGAAGAATGAGGACAGGTGGATTTAGGAAGCGCTTTCTTCTCCTCCAAACAGATACTTAAACATGAGTGATCGCTTGGCAAACTGGCACGTGAGCGCAAACCTCTCGCTGCTCTTGGCGTCTCTTGGCTGAGCGGTGGAAGCGCTCGCATAACGCAGTCCTGGTGGGTGGCGAAGAGGAAGAGAAACACTTACCATTTCTTCCTCTGCCAGTCTCACTGTTGACAAGCCAAATTGATCTTTGAAGCGACTAAATGAATGTTCCCTAAATATATGTACACACATGGCTGTCTGGGAACGTATTCCTTTTGCAGTGATTGCCTGAAATTGAAGGAGAGCGCAGGACCCCCAGCAGGCTGGAAGTGGGGCTGCAGGGCTGGGGGCTGGGGGTGGCACCCCGAGGGAGCGCGAGGCTTCCTTTCTGTGCCACTGTCCTTTGAGAGTCAAGGTGTTCATCAGTATAATGAAGCGGGCCCATTGATTTATCATCTATTTGG